AAACAAAAGTCAAATCCTGTTATCTTCCGATAATTCAGTTTTAACACATGATTCATTATTTCTGACATTTGCAGATGGTTCAAGCTGGTGGACAAAACGGGAAAAGAGGACAAGGCACGAGGAGAGGTGCTGCTAGATATCCAATTTATGAGAAACAATATGTCAGCCAGCATGTTTGACCTTTCCATGCAGGACAAACCACGCTCTCGCATTTCCAAGATAAAAGACAAAGTGCGTGGGAAGAAAAAGGATGGTTTCTCCGACTCGGCCTCAGCGATTGTGCCCTCTGTCAGCCAGGTCCTCACAGACAGTGAGGGCGAGGCTGACGCGCAGTCACTCAACCAATCTCCAGATGAGAAAAAGAAATCTAAGCTCAAAAAGCTCTTTGCCCCCAAATCAAACTTGCAGCGTAACATCTCACAGTCCATGTCCACACTGGGGACACTGCCTGAGAAGAATTCATCTCTGAGTGGCAGCCGCTCATCTGGTCTCAATGTCAACTCTCCTGATGGTAATTTAACCTCTGTTCTCTGTTTATTGTTTATTGTTTGCTGTTGCCAGTGCAAGTTGCGTAAGTTGTTTTGCATGTCAACAATGACATCATGCCTCACTGTCTCTCTCCCTGCAGTTAAGAAGAAATTCAAATTGGGACACAAACGAACCGGCAGCTCTGACAGCAAGGTATCTTTGGGTCCTTTCTCCCTGCTGGGCCGCTCCAAGCAGAGCAACAGTGACCTAAACAACCTGTGCATTAACGGCAGCCATGTGTACACAGAGGAGACAGAACCCAAGAGTGGATCTACACTCAGTCTGAACAGCTCTGGTCGAGGCTCTGTGGAAGATGTCCGCAAACACACTTCTGATCTCTCTGCAGATGCTTTCAGGAGTGTATCTGTCCCATCAACAGACAGAGCTTCACAAGAACAACAGCACCATCAAGAGGAGGAGGAAAGAAGGCAAGCAGAAGAAAGGCGCATAGCAGAAGCAAAGAGGATTGAGGAAGAGGAGAAACACAGGGCACAGCTCAAGAGGCTGCAGGAGGAAGAGGAGCGTAGACTGCAAGAGGAACAGGAGAGGAAGAGACGCTTCCTAGAGGATGAGGCCAGGAGGAAGAAACAGATGGA